CTAGATGCCTAGAAGAATTGTAAGCATAGCAACAATAACCCACAGCAGAAAAAAAAACAGAATATTCACAGTTAACTGAATTAAGATTAAGAAACTCAAGACAGATGTAGTGAAGAAATGAATGGGGCTATTCTTCTCATAACGTAGTGAAGCACCTTAAGGGTACTTTTAAAAACATAAAATATAACTACTTTTTTTTACTTGTAAAAATAACCAATAACCTACTTATTTTAAACTAACTTTTTTAAAGAAGAGAAGGTTTATTGCTTTTTTCTCTATCCATTATGTCTGAAACCTCTCTGTACCTTTGCATTACAGAGTGTGAATCAAGGAATCCCAGTAGTTTGCTATTTTCTCAGTATTCAGAAATGAACTGTAGCAGCAAGGTACACTAAGCTCACTAAACTAAGAATTAAGTGTTTAGAAAAGATTTCTAATAATCTTTTGTTGCCCTGAAGGAACCTGGAGCAGCAGTTGCAAAGCAAAACTACTCTAAAACAAACCAGGACATTATAAAGTGTGTGCATCGTTGATGATTAATCGCCCAACTTACAGTAGCTCCTTTCAGTCTGGAACTCCAGGAGGTTGACTCATTTGAGTTTAACCCTGAACTGGAGGTCATCGGTCAATCATCCAAAACAGGACCAACCAATGAGGAACATTATACTGTAGGTGGAGAAGGACACTACACCTGATGATGTCACAACCAATCACTAACCCCGATTACTAGACTTTGAAGGCGGCTTTTGCAAGGCCATAAACTTTCTCTTGATCCTCTCTCTAAATCAAGGTCCGGTAAAAGATTTGACTACATGACTGCAATTACTATTGTCAAAGTCAGAAAACTAAACAGAGCTCTGTCCAAGACTTCCTCTGCACAAGACAAATGGTACAAAAACTGATATGGCTAGACTTCAAGAAGCCTGATTATCACAGGTTGTTTCAATAATAGCAGTACACCATGCAGCAGATGGAATTCCATGTCACTTGCAGACTGGAACAGAATCAGACCTTGTGCACTGTAGGAAAACCAAGCTCCGTGTGATTCCAGCCACAGAGCTTTCCTCTTTTCCCTTTTCAACAGAGCTCAGCCCCGTCTCTCCTTAGGATTTTCAAACTGCAAATAGAACAGTTGGCCTGTGTATTCCGATGAGTAATACAGTACAATGCACTGTAGCTCTCATTCCATTGTCACATTTTTAAATGAACATTTCACCAGCTCTCCAAACCAGGTTTCTCCTGCAAAACTAAACTGAAAACCTACAATATAAAATGGCAGATTGAAGAGGACAACTGATGAATTTTAAACAATTACAAAATTGTCACAGGATGTCCTCTTTGTCTTAACATTTATTCATTACATATAATTTAAAAATCTCATTTTATGCATATACGCTGAGTACAGAAAGAAGTTTATAATTGCAAATTTACATTTATCAAGGAATAGAATATTTGTAATATAAAAGATACACTGACATTTTATTAATCATGCTTGATATAGGCATAGTGTATATGCTGATTAATATTAATAATCAGAACATCCAAAGGAAACAGTGAAAGTCACATACTAGTAGTGTTTACCCTTGAAAGCAATGCAAGCTGTACATCTGTAGTACATGCTTTGTGCACTGCTAAAGAGGACTTGGCTTCACTGCTGTTTAGTCTACCTGAGATGTTGTTCTTACATACCTAATGTACAAAGGCACCGTTTTTTTCACCAGGCTCAAAAGCTCAAGTTAAATCACCTTTGCCTGTTCAGCTCAATCACTAATGAAGTGTTTTAGTCCAGGTCAATTTCATTTAAATCAGTCATGCAAAATCAAATTTAAATTGACTTTATAATACATTACCCAAAATCTGCAGGCTTTACTTTATTTTTTCTAGAATATACAGTATATGCATAACATAGAGCAAAGCACACATATAGATTTATATCTAAATGTAAAATCAGTGAATGTTAATAAAGACTGGAAACACATCTGTACAGTATGACAATTAATGTTTTTAAAAATGGAAATATGCTTTACTAAAATGAAATGAATTATCATATCATGGAACTGACAGTTGCCCATAGACTCTGGCAATTTGTAGAACTGAAAAGAACAATGAAGTTTCAAGCACCAGAAGAGTTTGGTT